GTCCGACCGTCGGGAACTCCATCCCCTCCCCAACATTCAGCATACGGCCCCAGCAGAAAGCGCCAAAAGGGCTGGTTTGCTTACCTCTGTCGTCGGACGAGTTGCAGCGCGTGATGTGCGATGTAGGACGTGCAATGGGACACTCTTTTAACTTGACGCGAAATCCCTATAGTGCGCGTCCGCTGACTTTGCCTTTTGCCACGCGACGGTGCCTCCTGGGGTGTACCCCACAAATGGAGGTCTGAGATATTTTGCCAATATGCCCTTAACATATCACCCTTTGATTTGCTATACGTTTATTTATACGTACGCTACTTCATCATCAAACTTTCACTTGTACTTGTAACCTGGGTCAACCGTCCGTTCGCGCTATTTGAATGAGGGGGGTCGCATTTGTGATTTCGGGAAGGGGGTTTCGCAAGGTTGTCATAGATGGAACGAAGGTTTAGGGAAGTCGTTAAAGGGTTTTTGGATGGGTTTTTCTAGAAAGTAGGGACAATTAGGGTGAAAGTGGTGGATTTGGTTGACTTGGCTCGTACCTACATATTTGTATTAGCCTCCACTGAGAACAAAAACGGGTAAATCGAAAACTCAGACGCCGAGTAAGGATTGCATAGCACCTGGGGCGACTTTGCAATTCGACTTCTTTTCTTCTGCTGATCCCACACAGTCAGAATTTCGAGGATACTAACCTCCAAAAATGTTTTCGAGAACACATTTGGCAAGTGAATGTAGTAGACATCCGCTGAGGTACCCCTGCAGGCTCTGAATTTGAGAAAACTGGATTGGTATGTAAGCTATGTCTGGGGATTTTCCAGAGTTTGGAGCGCTGCATCTTTCCAAAAATGTTCACCAGGATCACTCCAAGTGAGGTTCCAGTAGGTCATTCACGAATGCACCTTCCGCCTAGTCAAATAACTTTTCAAATTTATGTAATCTCTAGCGTTACTTCATTACCATTAGGTTGTTCTCCTATTTCACAGAGACAGTTCCTCATCTAATAACTTGTATGTATTCATCTCCTGGAGGATAACATACCTTTTCCATTGTCCAGTTCGGCTTGTTCTTCTCGTGGCCTCTGTTTGAACGTCAGCTCACCCATATGCATTATTCCTAGAAGAAACAAAAAAATTGTACAGCACTTTCCAAGGCATTTGTCCAGCAAGTTGAAACGACCATTTCCTTAGCTTAGTCGCAGGTCCGTAGGAGACTCTTCTTCTTATGAAACATTGAATACATATGTAATTCGTCGTGTGTTTCCCTATGCACTGTGTTGAATAACTAAGTGATCTTCTTAGAAATGCATTAACATTTTTCACAGGTGTTGAACCTGCAGACAACTAGTACCCCGACCATTGAAGTTGAGCCTGTTAGAGGGCTCCTTTTATGAAAGACTGGATCGTGTTCTTTCCAGAACCCATAGCCTAGGTGCAATAAAATCTTCAAACAAAGTAAGCCTTATGGACAGTATTCTATAGAGTCTTTGCAAAGTTTGAGATAACTGACCTGCTGTGATTGCAAACAACTCGTCTTTCTCCTTTTGAGAGAACTTCATGATATCGAATGCTTCCTAAAATAGCAGTGATTAGGCCGGGCTTCTGCGCTCGGTGGTCTCTTTCATTTTCAGTGATGGTACTACAAATTGGTCGTCGTAGAAAATACGGTTTGAGCTGGTTAGTGTTGAAAGCAGAGATCAAGAAAAATAGATCAAAATTCGCAAGATGAGACCCTCCTTGCTCTTTGACTCCAACGTTGGATGAAATCCTACGTTGACGTTGTGAACGCCATGCTCAGCCTTTTCACCCTCTCCCGTTTTACCACCTGCAAACTCGTCGTCATCATCACCCA